ATATAATCTCATAGACAACTCCCTTATCCTCTGGCTCTTACTGTCTTCCCACTCCCTCTTCCAGATTGACCCCAAGCCATAGGTGTAAGAGCATTTTGTAGCTATTCAGAAGAAGGAGAGGGAAGGGAGAAATCATATATTTATAGTCACAAAGTAAAAGAAAAAATAGGACTGAAAAAATGTCTATTAAGTTCTCAGTGCAACAAAACATGTAACATGGTACAAACAGTTCATATTCCATAAGAAAACTTGAAAGCAAAGAAAATGATTCCTTCCTAGTTGTCCTTTTTAAGGATAGAGGACTTGGAGAGAGTCATTACATGATGACCAAGGTAACAGATACATTATAAAATAATGAGAATTATTTTTAAAATCACATGAGGGAACATGTATATTCAATTTATGGTCATATTTTCCCAAGTGCCTTATTATTTTTCAAACATGTTGGTTCCTCTGTTTTAGGATCTATGATTTTCTCCTGTTTATATATCCCTGATGCTGATAATCTTAAAGCCTCAAGGGTGACTTGGTGGAGCTTTTTTTCATTTGATTTCTGCAAGTAATAAGTCATCTGAATACAGAGGTATCCATTCTACTAACAGTCTACTAATTGGAGACAGGCTTATCCACTGATGTCCTCTACAGCTATAATAAAAAGGAATCCAAAAATTGTACAGTAATATGAAATAATTGCCAAATTTTTCTCAATAAAACAAAGTAATCTGAGGAATTATGCATAAATATATTATTGTTGGAAAATGCAAGAGTGGTAGAGACATGTGTGTATTAGCTAAAGAGTATGTTGGAAATGTAACCCAAGAATGAGAACAGTTGCTCTGGTCAGAAAAATCACAAGACTAGATTACTGCTGGGGAAAAAAAAAGACTAAATGAATGAAATTGTAAGTCAAGTGACATTTGACTAATAAAGTGGAAAACCACACCAGACAGTATTTATGGAGGAGGCAGAGAAATAAAAAAAAAAGATGATTTTATAATGAAATTGGAGCAGTTCTTTTTTTTTCAATTTGAATTAGTTACAGGATTGTTTTACATGACAATCCCAGTTCCTTCTCCCTCCTGTCATCCCCTACCACACCCCCCCAACTAAAACCCTATCTATCACATATCTTTTCTGCTCCCCCTGGATGATGAGAGTTCCAATGGGGTGTCATCAAAATCTATTGTATCCTTTGGGATAGGGCCTAGGCCCACCCCCGTGTATCTTGGCTCAGGGAGTATCCCTCTATATGGAATGGGCTCCCAAAGTCCACACCTATGCTAGGGATAAATTCTGAACTTCTACAGGAAGTCCCATAGATTTCAGAGGTTTCCTCACAGAAACCCATATTCCTGGGTCAGTCCCATGCTGGTATTCCAGCTATCAGTCTGGAGAGCAAGAGTTCCCCAAAGTTCAGGTCATCTGTTTCTGTGGGTTTCACCAGCCTGGTCTGGATCCCTTTGCTCTTCACTCGTCCTTCCATGCATCTGGGTTCCAGTTCAGTTCGGTGATTAGTTGTGGGTGTCTGCTTCTACTTCCACCAGCTGCTGGATGAAGGCTATTGGATGGCATATAAGTTAGTCACCAATCTCATTATCAGGGGAGGGCATTTAAGGTAGCCTCTCCTCTGTTGCTTAGATTGTTAGCTGGTGTCATCTTTGTAGATCTTCAGACATTTCCCTAGTGCCTGATTTCTCCGTAAACCAAAAATGTCTCCCTCTATTATGGGGCCTAGTGCCTGATTTCTCTGTAAACCAAAAATGTCTCCCTCTATTATGGGGTCTCCATTCTTATTTTCAACTATTCTTCCCCTGACTCAACCTTTCTGCTCCCTCATGTCCTCTGCATCCCTCCTCTCCTCCCCTTCTCATTCTCCTAGCTCCCTACCCCCTCCTTCCTGTGTTCCCAATTTGCTCAGGAGATTTTGACCCTTTCTCCTTCTCCAGGGGACCATGTATGTCTCTCTTAGGGTACTCCTTATTTATTAGCTTCTTTAGCAGTAATCACACAAAATACACAAAGCATTAGTGAGGACACAAGCAAAATAATGGCAAGCCACTCCTGATTTCAGGGACTGAATGCCCTTTCAAACAGTGAAGTGTAAAATGCACAAACCACACAATACATAAAAAACGGTATGTAACAAATAGTAAAACATGATCGAAGTTTAACTGTTAAAAGAATAAACCTGCTAAATGAATAATAGCAACGGCCAAGCTGGGTATGATTTCATGCTTTTCCATTGTAAAATGTAAGAATCCATTCACATATAATAATTCCAGAGGGGAAATACCAGAGTTTGAAGATATTTGTGGAGTAACAAGGCAGCTTCACCAGAGTCCTCCCCATCTTCAAGACAAACAAGGCCTGTTGATGTGGCCAACTCATGAGAAATGGAGAGATTAAACTCCCGAAGACTTAGGAATGCTTAGGTAGTTACCTGCTCAAGTCATCTGCTCCATGCAGAAGCAAAAACTGGTCATGCACGGAGATGGCACAAATGCTGGGGAGACGTCCCGATGGATAAACTGCTTGCTATGCAAGCATGAGAACCTGAGTTCCGATCCCTAGTAGCCATGCAGAAGCCCTATGTGGTGGTCCATACCTGTCATCTCAGCACCAATGAGTTCCCTATGCAGAAAGTATAGCCAAGATGGTGAGCTCTAGATTCAGTGAGAGACTTTGTCTTCAAAAATAAGGTGGAGAGTGACATAATGACACTTAACAATTGATCTCTAAACAGACATGCATAGGCAAGCACGCCCTTGCATGTGCAGGCACATATATAATTTTTTCAAAGAAGGTGCACAATAAACATTTGAAATCCCAAAGTAACTAGTGTGCACACTCACAAGGTAGTTATGGACTCCACCGCTACTTCTTGTTTCCTAAGGCACACATATTCCACCAACAAGACAAAACTAGTACAATCTTCAGCACATCCTTCCTCCTGTTCCCACTCTAACAAGAATAGAACTCAACTTACATTTGGTAGAAATGACCAACTGGGAGCACCCTCTTAAATTCATCAGTAATTCTCTGGGGCAGACTGCACTACTGACCCATCAACTCTCCTACCATGATTTTGAAGTTTCCCTTATTCCATAAAAGTTTATTTCTGTGACCAATGGGACGTATGGCCAGAGTGAAGCAGAAGTTATAATACCCTCTTCTGAACCTCCTGGTTCAGAAGAATTTAATTCCTAAGTACAAGTTACTTCCATTTTATCCCGAAGAATCTCTTCCATCATCCAAGAACCTGCCATAGCCCCTGTTGTAGCAGGACAACAGCAAGAGACATACAGAATAGAGCAATCTCTAGCCAATGTGGACAAGGAGGATATAGCCAAGACCAGTAAAACTAACTATCCAGGTGGGTTCAGCCCAGATAAGTTGACTGGCAGTCTCAGGAAAATAAGACATGATTACCATTTTAAGCCCTCTGTTTTGGCATAGTTTGTTACATGGCAATACTTACTTGATACATTCTATTAGCACTGCCTTTCCTCCTTTCCTTTTGAATATTCTTCATGACCATATTGTAAGGTCCTTAAATTAAAAATTCCAGTTTTGTCTAGCAATGTAAAACTTCTACTCCCTACCATACAAATCCTACATCCAAGGCTCAGGGATCATTTCAGAAGAGAGAGTGGAGAGATTATAAGAGCCAGAGGATCAGGGAATATGCTGTGAAATTGTGCCTCCTGCACAATTTCTGCATCTAATTAAGTCTCACCAGCATGATTGCCTAAACATAAGCTGAACAAGGGTGACACCAATGAGCATGCTGTCTTATTCAGTGTTCTATTGCTGAAAAGAGACACCATGACCACGACAACTCTTATAAAAATAAAGCATTTAATTGAAGGCCTGTTTGCAGTTTCAGAGGCATAGTCCATTATTGTTATGGAGGAAGTATGTTGGCATGCAGGCAGACACTGTGCTGGAGAAGTAGTTTAAGTGTTCTACATCTGGATCCACAGGCAGCAGGAAGAGAGAGACCCTAGGACTGGTTTGGGCTTTTGAAACTCCAAAGCCTACCTCCAGTGACACACTTCCTCCAATAAGGCTGCACCTCCTAATCCTTTCAAATAGTGTCACTTCCTGTGACGAAGTCTGATGGGGGAAGTGCTTCTGTGTATATGTTTGTCTTATTGGGTGATAAATAAAGTACTGCTTGGCCAAACAGTACAAGATAAGTCTTATATATTTATGATAATTAAGACTGAGCTAGCAGATGAGATATCCTAGTCATTGGAAAAGCAGCATTTGTACCTAATATAAGTCTCTGTGTATTATTTTGGCCATCCACATGGCAGGCAGAACTCAAGAGGGTAGTGGAAAGACTTATCGTAGCACAAGTCTATGAGTCTATGAGAGCGCTTCTCATTCAAACAACCACACATGCCAGGGGACAGGGGAAATACCATGAGGTTTCACCCCTACACAAATAGCTACAGGCAAACAAGGAATGCTGAGACCATGAGAAATTGTCCACCCCAGGGAAGAGCATAGCAACTGGCTATCCAACAGCAAATGGTCAGCCATAAAAGTAACATGAACATGTAGTACTCGTGTATTTAGGAACATACATGTGTACACATATATGAATTTAAAACAATTAATTACAGAAGAGGCTATCAATTTAGAAGTTTAAAAAGAGGTTATGGAGGGTTTGAAGGGTTAGAAGAGGAGGATTTTGTGTAATTGCATTATAATCTAAAAAAAAAAACAAAAGAAATAAAATTTTAAAACCTCTACAAGCATAAAACCTCTTAAATAGTACATTATAAGCAACAATCCAGTTTGTTCTTGCTTAGTTGTTCCTTTAATCAAGCACATATATTTTCTTTTTTATCATTTTTTATTTGAATTAGAAACAAGATTGATCTACATGACAATCCCAGTTCCCTTTTCCCTCCCGTCCTCCCCTACCACCCCCCCCAACTAAAACCCTACCTATCACATACCCTTTCTTCTATTCTTCACCTGACTCAAACTTTCTGCTCCCTCATGACCTCTCCATCCTTCCTCTTCTTCTCTTCTCATTCTCGTAGCTCCCTCCCCCCTCTTCCTGTGCCCTCAATTTGTTCAGGGGATCTTGACCCTTTCCCCTTCTCCAGGGGAAAATGTTTGTCTCTTGTAGGGTCCCCCTTGCTTACTAGTTTCTCTGACAGTGTGGATTGTAGGCTGGTAATCCTTTACTCTATGTCTAAAATCCTTTCTTCGAGTTCCATCCATTTTCCTGAAAATTTCAAGATTCCATTGTTTTTTTCCGCTGAGTAGTACTCCATTGTGTAAATGTACCACATTTTCTCTATTCATTATTCAGTAGAGGGGCATTTAGGCTGCTTCCAGTTTCTGGCTATTACAAATAGTGATGCTATGAACATCATTAAATAGATGTCCTTGTTGTATGAGTGTGATGTGTCTTTCAGCCATTTTAGATTCCTCTGTTGAGAATTCTGTTTAGTTCTGTACCCCACTTTTTAACTGGATTTCTGTGTGTGTTTTGGAGACTAGCTTCTTGAGTTCTTTGTATAATTTGGAGATCAGCCCTCTGTCACATGTGGGGTTGGTGAATATCTTTTCTCAGTCTGTGGGCTGCCGCTTGCTGACTTGTCTTACAGAAACTTCTCAGTTTCAGGAGGTCCCATTTATTAATTGTTGATCTCAGTGTCTGAAGCACATATATTTTCATATAGCCCAGTTATCCAAGGGCACAGGCCAAAAAACACAAAAATTATCAAGTATTTTATATATTTTTCATGACGCAACACTGTAAGTCTTTGTACAGTTGGGTTTTTTTTGAGTGGATAGCATATTTTAGGAAAGGACAGCTGCACTTTCCATGGACTTGCAATGGCAACAAAACTGACCATTTGCAGTCATTTACATATTGCATATGTATATTATATGTATATATAGTATGATATCTATTAAATATATACTGATATAGTATAACATTCTAAAATAAGATGCTTACAATTTAGTTTAAGTGAAGTGGACAAATTTCTGGAAAAATACAAGTTTGCGAATTTCCTCAAATAGAAGTAGAAAATGTAAAAGAAAACGTAAGAAAGAAATGCAACTAGTAACAATAGTGTTGACACTCACCTTTGATCCTAGCTCTTGGAAGGCAGAAGTTGGCAGATCTCTGTGATTTCGAAACCAGCCTGGCTTATAGAGAGAACTCCAGGACAGCCAGGGCTACACAGAGAAACCCTGTCTCAAAACAACAAAAAAAGTAAAGAAAAGAAATGCAACTGGTAACAACAAAAAATTCCCCCCAATCTCTTCACAGTGAATAAGCAGACAAGTGTAAGGTTTAAGGGACTTTGTTTTGTTTTTACTGTTTTTCTTTCAGTTTCTCACAGGAAGGTCCTCTTTTTTTGTTTTGTTTTTTTTTTTTTTTGTATTAGAAACAAGATTGTTTTACATGTGAATCCCAGTTCCCACTCCCTCCCCTCCTCCTCTACCATCATCCCCCCACAACTAAAACCCTACCTATCACATATCCTTTCTGCTCCCCCTGGATGGTGAAGCCTTCCATAGGGGGTCATCAGAGTCTATCATATCATTTGCAATAGGGCCTAGGCCCACCCCTGTGTGTCTTGGCTCAGGGAGTAATCCTCTATGTGGATTGGGCTCGCCAAATAATTTATTCTCACCTACAGAAACCAAGTTGCTGTAATTCTCCAACACGACATCTCTGTACAAATCTCTCTGAGATGTATTCAGGAATTCCCATTCCTCCTTGGAGAAATTGATTGCCACGTCCTTGAAAGTCAACAGACCCTGAAAGGA